TCGCCGGTGACTCACGGCAGCCCAGCTCCAGGTTGAGCTGTTGTTCAGCATCTTAGCTGTGGAGGGCAGTGTCCCTCATATGTGGGATCCGAACCGGGGCTCTCTGGCATCCCAAGCCAGTTCTTAACTATCGTGCCACTCGGCCGGCCCTTCTGTCTTTGTTTTTAATCAAATTGTTGTGCTGCAACAAAAAGCTTCTTTTTCACATTTTATAAGAGTGTGTTTTTATCTGTACATAGCATAGTAACTCTTGAATTGCATGTCTTGGATTTAATGTAGAGTAACTGCTAGATATATTTGAAACTTAAAATACAATGTTTTCGTAATTCATTTCAGTTTATGTGACTTAATTCCTGTCTGATAAGCTAATGTTACAGAGTTTTTGGAGCTCCCCATAGTTTGCTCTACCTGGGTGTCATCACTTCTTGTTTGACTATTTCCATTAGGTAAGGGGACGAGGGGCGGGTGTGTGTGTGTGTGTGTGTGTGTTGGCACATGAAGACATCACAGGTGGATTGGCAAATGGTTAATGGAAAGATGGAGTAATAAAAACCCTGTGTGTATGAAAATCCTAGTTCATAAAACATTATGGTTTAGTGGGTGAATATTAAAACTACATGAAGAATTCTTAATTTAAGAAACGAAAAGCACAAGACTCCTATTTAAATGATAACGTTCCCTGTTATGTTTAAGTATTAGTTAAATGCCTGTAGGGAGTCTCGTGATATTTAAACATGAATTTTAGTACCACTGCCAATTTTGTATTAATCAGAAATTAATGTTAGGCATGTCAAAAATTATAATGTGCTGCCTCTGCTTGTTAAACTTCAAATTTCTCTTCCCAAAATAGACGAGGAAAGGAGGGAAAAGGTAATCATTCCAATAGCTTTTAATAGTTACCCTCACCAAATCTTTTTATAATAGCAATAAAATTGATTCATTTAATAGAAGGGAATTGTCAGGTCACATGTCAGCTTTGTGCTTCGCTTGTTGAGGAACTGCGAAACTGTTTTCCAAAATAGCCACACCATTTTACATTCCCCCAGCAATGTATAGCTTTCCAATTTCCCTACATCCTCCTCAAAACTTGTTACTGCTCACCTTTTTGGTTATAGCCATGCTAGTGGGTATGAAATGGTATCTCATTGTGGTTTTGATTTGCATTCCCCTAATGGATAATAATGTTAAGCATCTTTTCATGTGCTTATTAGCCATTTCTCTGTCTTTAGAGAAATGCCTATTCAAATGTTTTGCCCATATTTCAAAACTTTTTGATTGGGGTAAAATATATATAACATAAACTTTACCATTTTAAATGTTCAATTCAGTGGCATTAAGTACTTCACTATCTTGTGCCACAGCCACCACCACCATCCATCTCCAGACCTTTTTCATCTTCCCAAACTGAAACTCTGTACCAATTAAATAGTAATGCTTCACCCTTCTCTTGCCCTAGCCTCTGGCAAATGCCTTTCTGCTCTCTCTCTCTTTTAATTAGACTATTCTTGATACCTCATATAAGTGGAATCATAAAATATTTGTTCTTTTGTGTCTGGCTTATTTCAGTTAGCACATGTCTTCAGAATTAATCCATGTTGCATCACGTGTCACAATTTCCTTCCTTGTTAAGGATGAATAATATCCCATCGTATGTGTATATACCACATTTTGTGTATCCATTTATCTGATGATGGACATTTGGGTAGTTTCCACCTTTTTGCTGTTGTGAATAATACTACTGTGTACATTGGTGTACATGTATGTGACCAAATTGCTAGGTCATATGGTAATACTTTGATTGCTTTTTTTTCTTTTTTTGAGGAACCACTATACTTTTTCCCACAGAGGCCATACCATTTTACATTCCCACCAGCAATGTACAAGGGTTCCAATTGCTTTACATCCTTGCCAGCCAATACTTATTTTCTGTTTTTGGATTATAGCCAATCTGATGGATGTGGAGTTCTATCTAGTTGTGGTTTTGATACATTTCCCTAATGGTTAGTGATGTTGAGCATCTTTCCATGTGCATATTGGCCATTAGTATATCTTTGAAGAAATGTCTATTCAAGTACTTTGATAATTTTTTAATCCAGTTTGTTTTTTTGTTGCTGAGTAGTACTTCTCTATATATCCTGGATATTAACACCTTATCAAATACATGATTTGCAAGTATTTTCTCCCGATTCTGTGGGTTACGTTTTCACTCTTGTTGATAGTGTCATTTGATATACAAAAGTTTTTTATTTTGATGTAGGTTCAATTTCTTTCGTTGTGTGTGCTTTTTTTTCTTTTCTTTTTTTTGGTGATATATCTTTTATATCAACACTGGTTGACTTTGAAATGTCTTGGGAATGTATCAGGAACCTCCCAAGCTCATTGTGATGAATAAACATTTTCTAGACCTGTGCTTCAATTTTATCATTGGCCACAAATATTTCATTTGTTTATCTTGAAGTGATAGACTCACTTCATTCATTTTTGAGAAACCGTCTCCCAGATGTCTCCTGGTTTGAATAAGCATTATTTGTTTGACAGTCCTGTCAAGTAAAAATGGCTTTGTATAAAAAATAGCTGGTTCAGCTGGCAACAGTATTCAACTGTTTTTCCTTGAGATGTCCATAGTATTTTAATACGTACCAGAAGTCATTTATGTATACTTCTCATTTTGTTACACAATATTAAAAAGATGTAGAGTCAAAGGTTGAAATTTAATAAAGTTAGTAACTTTTGTTTTATTCAACTTTAAGTGAAACAGGTTTCTTTTTGTTTTACTGTGAATTTGTGGTGATAAAGAAGGTAATGATTACTACTAGTACAGTTTGGTACTGCTGCCTTGATTTATGTTGAAGTGTCATCAGTTTTACCTACCACTGCTTTTGCACTAATGGTGCAAATGTCAACACAGTGAAAAAGTAAATTCTTATGAAAATAGCTTTGACCTCTTGGACCACACTTAGAGAACTGCTGCCCTAGCTTATAGGGTTGGTGGGTGGAATGGAAGAGTGATTGCAGATTAGCACTCTGCTTATTTTAAGTAGTCACCTGTGTAAGAAATATATCTGCTGCCACTAATGGTTGTACTGTCTGTTTTGGGGAAATGTTTGGCATTCCTGACTCTTGCATCTCCTGGATTTAGGCTCTTTAGACAGGTATCATAAAATTTCCTTATATTAGTGGTAAAATGAAAAGATGTTTATATGAATTTCTTAAATGAGTAGATGTGAAAAGTATATAAGGAATTTATGTATTTTTATTTTGCAGATACATGTTGGATAGAACCTGTGATATACCTTTCTATTGACAAAAGATAGTGAAAATAATGGTGAAAACAAAAAAGAGAAATTGAAGTTTATTTTGCTATTTAGCAAGTGTAAGACTTCACTAGTCTATATAAGCCTTATAGTTTTGATGGTAAGAGCTTAGAGTATGATGTCATTCTGACTTGTACACTTAAAACTATAAACATGAACTTGGGTCAATTTCTAATACCTTTTAAAAAGGAGAAGTAACACCTCCCTGGTTAGGTTTGTTATGTGGCATAGAATCAAAACAAAATAATGCTTTAAAAATGCTAACACCAGGACTTAGCACTTAATAGACTTTCAGCCAGAGGTAGTTCATTTTTAGGTTTTTATCAGAGATTTGGATTTTGTTTGGGTCAGGAGTTGGGAGAAATGGATGAAACCGGGTTGGATGAAACCTGAGTCAGATTGATCAGGCATGATGCATTCTATTGAACCAAGACATTCTTTCTATACTACTTACTCAGATCTTAATTTTGTTAGCATTACTGATGGTAAATTCTTATTGTGCTTTGTGTTCAAGAATTGTAAAACTATATGGTATTATATATTTTTTAAATTTTTTGCTTATAGGATTCAGTGGTCCCAATTTAAAGGCTATTTTATTTTCAAACTGGAGAAAGTGATGGATGATTTCAGAACATCAGCTCCTGAACCAAGAGGTCCACCCAACCCTAATGTCGAATATATTCCCTTTGATGAAATGAAGGAAAGAATACTGAAAATTGTCACTGGATTTAATGGGTATGCACTTAAAACTATTTTAAAGATTTGATTTTTAGCAGAACTATAGATTTTTCTTGAAATCATGATGTGTCTGGTTGTTTGATAACTGATTATCCATTAGAATAAGTTCTGTGTTTCTAGTGACATACCTGGGGTGCCAAAAAAAATGTATGCACATGACTTGTATTCATCTTTTGTTATCGGTATATATTGTTACAATTTTAATAAGTTTTTTTCCTTAAAATGTGTATACATTTTTTGGGGGGGCACCCTCTGTATATAGTAGTTATTGATTTTCAGCTTAGAAGTATTTTAAATATTTACAGCTTTTTTTTTTTTTTTAATTTTTATAAGTTTATTTGAGCCTAACCGACGACGACATATGTCTGGGAGCAGCAAGATCTCAAATGCTCCGTATACTAACAGTTTTGCAGTTTCTTTCATGCATTTGAAGTTAAGGAGGGGACAGAAGGAAAATTACATGAAGGTGGGAGGGAGAAAGCAAGGTGGGGATTGGATTACAAGATAGCTAGGATTATTTACTCTCCAGTGTGGTTACCTTTTAGTAGGAGGGGTCTGAAAAGAGGCATTTCAAAGGTATGTTGACCTGCATGCAAAGAAACAATGGACAGGGCTTGCTTAAGGCAAAGATAAGCTTTTTAATTAAAGAAGTTGTATCCCTGGGGTGTGACTACCTACCATGACCTGGCCAGTTAGGAATTTATGATCAGATCACCCTGGAACAGCTGTTCTCAACCTGTGGGTCGCGACCCCTTTGGGGGTCGAACGACCCTTTCACAGGGGTCGCCTAAGACCATCGGAAAACAAAAAGATACTTACATTACGATTCATAACAGTAGCAAAATTACAGT